GCTGGGTTGTCCGGCTCGGGCTCCGGGAGGGGAGACGGGTGTCAGACGAGCCCGGCCGAGGGGCTCAGTGGGCTGAGCCAGCGGATGTTTCTCTTTTCCTCTGAGCCTGGTTTTGGGAGGATTTTTTTTAAAATGTGCCATGCAGACCAGGTGAAAACACCGCCCCGGGGGCACGAGGAGCTCCCCGGGGAGACGGGCCGGGAACTGTCCCGGGGAACCAGGGAGGGCAGGTGCCCACAGGAAGCCCGGGGGGAGGTGGGGCCTCGCGGGGAAACAGGAGGGCCGGCCGGCGGCTCTGGACGCTTTAGGAATCAAAGGCGCCCCGCGGTGGGGCTCAGCGCTTGAGCATCAACCTAGGATCCAGGAGATGGAGGTTCGATTCCAGTCGGGCCCGGGCCGGGTTGCGGGCTCCATCCCCAGCAGGGGGCGTGCAGGAGGCAGCCGACCAATGACTCTCATCATTGATGTTTCTCGATAAAGACGGATTAAAAAATAAATAAAAGGGAAAGACCGATATTGCAGGTCGGGGCAGAGTTCTCAGATGCCTCCTAGACCAAGTCACAAGCCTGCTGGGTGGGCAGGCAGCAGGCAGTGCGAACACAGGCTGCCGGCCAGGCCCGGCTATCGGCTGGGGCCTGGGGTCTGTTCTGCGACATTTGCACTTTCTCCTGGAGCCTAGCAGGGAGGACAGCCACGTGGGTGGCCTGGCAGACACCAGGGTCCCTGGAACGGGCATCTGCAGGGGCAGGAAGCACATGAGTCAGCTCTGGCTCTCTCAGCCATGTCCCGTGACCTTTTCGCCAGGCTGGACAAAGACCAGGAAGGCTGGTTTCTACTAGGGTCTTGTAAAGTGCTGTGTGGGCACAAGCAGGGAAGCTCAGGAGGCAGAGACCCACCTCCCAGTGCAGAGCCCCAGGGCCTGGGACACCTGTTTACAGGCCACTTGCAGGCTGCAGCACGTCAGGAGGAGCTGGGAGTGGTGGGCCAGGACCCCCATCAGGAGACCCAGGATCTGCCCAGTGCTTTTAGGAATCCGACTGTGAGGTCAGGTGCAGGGCACCACATGGACACCACTGGGAGCCGGACTTAGCTGGGGGTACTGGAGGAGGAATGCGTTTGGCCAGAAATGCAGGGTCACCCCCACCTTTGAGCAGCCACCCTAGGATGAAGCAGAGGGCCCCATCATCCCAGTTGTACCCCTGGCTCCCAGGGAAAGCTGGACAAGGGTCTGTGATCCTGCAGGCCTGGGCTGCCGGTGAGCTCAGCCCACCTCCTCCCTCTACTCCCCAAGAGGCAGTCAGGTCAGCAGGCCACACCCAGCCCCAGTTGGCCCAGCAGCCACCTCTAGAGGGAAGGCACACCCAAGATCTGCTGATGGAGAATCATTAACCTTGTGGGGTGGTCAGGGGGGCTCTCTGGGCCAGGGAGCAGCCTTCCTGCACCCCCCCTTGGACCCTTCTTGTTTGTGGTTCAGCAGGGAGCACACACTGGGGGAAGGCCCCTAGCTTTGGGGAATGCTGGGCACACCCATGAGTGAGCTGTCCCACCCAGAGGTGGCACTCCAGGACACACAGCACCCCCCTCTGGTTCCACAGAACTGATCTTGCAAGTCATTCTTCCAGCAGGGCCAAAGGGGGTGGGGGCCCCTGGGGGTCATAGGTGCTCAAAGCACACTGCAGCCTCCCTTTCTCCTGCTCTGGGCCCAAAGTCCCAGGAATCTCAGGCTGGGAGGAAGGGATTCACAGCCCCCAGAGAAGAAAGCCAAGGTTCCTGGGAGGGAGGCCCCAGGGCTGTCCTTACTCAGCGGCTAAGGGTGGCCTCCTCCCTCACCTCACCCTGGCTCCCAGGTCCTCTCTAAGGGCCACCTGGGGCACATGCCTCACCCTTACCAGCCTGGGTGGAGCTGCATGCACCATGGCCTCTGAGGCTGTCCCAGTGAGGCCAGCACTGCACACGCAGCTCCTGGGTGAAGATCTGGCATTAGCCACGCTCAGCTGCCACCTGCCAGGCAGGACAGGGAAACACCACTGGCTGTGGGGTCTCAGTGGACCCAGATGATCACCTGCAGACCCTCACCCACCCCACTGCCCACGGGACACAGCACGGCACATACACGGCCCAAACCATGTATTTTCTCAGCGGCCAACAGGGGGCGCGTGGTAACCTCGAGGCGCGTTTCAGAGTCTGCCCCGGTGGGGCTCAGGGCAGCAGCTGCCCCTCCGGGCTCAGCGGGTCCATGCCTGTCCCAAAACTGGGCTGCCACGCAGTGGCAGTGTGCAGTACTGCTCCAAGGCGCCCATGGGCTGAGCCTGGGTGCTGGGTGCGGCCAGCAGGGCCGTGCCCGTGTCCCACAGACCCCTGTCCACAAGTCCTCAGCGCTGCCCTACTCCAGGACCACGGTGCCGCCCACCGCCTCCAGCGCCGCCTTGATCTTCTCCGCCTCGGCCTTGGCAACGTTGGCTTTGATTTCCTGGGGCAGCGACTCCACCAGTTTCTTTGCCTGCAGGAGAGCAAGGTCAGACACCATGCCTGGGCTACCCGGACCAAGCCCAGCCTGGGAGGGGATGCCCGGAGCTCACCTGCACGAGGTTTATGCCCTGGATGTAGTTCTTGATTTCCTTGATCAGCTTCACTTTGTCCACAGGCTTTGCCTCCGTGAGGCGGACAGTGAAATGTGTCTGCTCTTTTTGTTTGGGGATGTCTTCCTCTACTGCCTGGGGGAGGGAAACAGTGGGCAGCCAGGTGAGAGAGGACAGCATGGAACAGGCCCAATCGTTCCTGCGCTGCCTGTCCTGTAACCCCAAAGGCAGGGCCCCTGTGAGTCCAGCAGGAGGCAGTCCAGGCCAGGCCAGCCCCCTGCCCACTCGGTGCTTCCCCTCCCTTGTCCATCCCTCGTCAGGCTGAGCTCTACCACCCAAAACCACTTCCAGCTCTCCAGAGGCTGGTCTAAAACTGCCTCCCTTTCCAGTCCCCAAAGCTCATCCCTTAAAACTGTAACTTATGAGACAAGGAAGAGCGACAGCAAAAGTGCTTTGGGTGAAATAACGTTCCAGAAAAGCAGTGTCATTCCAGTTCTCAGCCCAGACTTAGCCCCACCTTCCCCAAGTGGCCGGTAGGGGGTGGTAGAGCTCCCCGAGTGGGCTGGGACAGGCAGTCCCCGCCAATTCTCTTTGTTGTGCAAATGGCTTCAGGCTACCTGTGTTTTTAGAGAGGTATCTGGGGACAGAGGAAAGCACAGACCAGGGATCTGCCTTAAACCTCAAGGGACAGGACATGCAAATGTGACAAAACCTTAATCATTACTAAGGCTGGTGAGAGTGTTACTATTTCTATTTGTGGATAACTTGGGATTTTAAAAAAATAACAAATATTGAAAAGATTAAAAAAGCAACAACAAAACAAATTAGCACGTGGATTCAAGTCTGCTGGTTTCCTCAAAGACGCCCAAACCGGTCCCAGTCGCCCAGAGATGGAGCTGCCATCACCTCCCTGCTCATCTCCAGCCCTGGACATGCCCCATGGCCCTCCCGCCTGCCGCCCTCTGCGGGGAATGCCTTACTCTCTCCCTCACTCCTCCCATCTCCTCTCCAGAGTGTCCCCTGCTCAACACAGCCTTGCTTGAACTCGTAACCCTCCCCACCCCTTAAGTTTCTTCCCTACTTTCCCCCACAGTACTTGTAACACCGTACTATCCAACATAATTTCTTTTTCCTCTCATCAGGCTCATGATCTGTTTCCCTCCACTAGAGCCGTGGTCTCCAGTGGGCAGGGCCTGCACATCCTTGGCAGGGAGCAGATCCCACGGAGGCCGACCAGAAGCACACAGATCTGCAGGGTGTGTTGACTGGTGCAGGACAGAGATGAGGGATGAGAGAAACCTGGCCACGTGACGGACATGAGGGGAGCTGGGAACTGGGCACCAGGGAAACACGCCTTTCTGCATAGGACACCGCCTGGGCTCACCTCGGGAGCTGCCGCGGCAGGGGCAGCAGCAGGCATCGCCCCACCCATGGGCATGAGCCCCACGTCCTGGATCTTCAACGTTTTCTGCAGGGACAGAGGAGAGCGGTCTCAGAAGCTGGCAGTCGCACCCACACCTTCTCACGGACAAGCCTGGCACGTCCTCACACTCGGGGAGCACACTTCCCACAGCTGACCAAAGCCCCCAGGTGCGCCGGGAACAAGACGCAAGCCCCAGCCCTCACTGCCAAGGCCTGGCCCCGTGATACCTTCAGGAGCTCATTGAGGTCTGAGATCTCCAGGAGCGTGAGGCTGGCAATGTCCTGGACCAGCTGCTGGATCTTGGGGGGGTACTCCTTGGGGGCGTTGTCTAGGGGCGCACCAGCCAGGGCCTCCCCCCTCCGATGGCTGCTGCATCTCATCAGCCGCACGGTGCAGACCCGTGGTATCTGCTGCCTAGAGCCCATTCAAAGGGAGCTGTTAGGCCGGCATAGGTAGGTGGGCGGCAGTCCAGGCGGCAGGTGCCATGAGTTCAGGCCTCGCCCCTTGCTCCCCACCCAGAGTTCTCAGGCTCGAGGGTCCCCGTCGACAACAAGGCGGTTTCCCAGCTACTTTACATCTACACGGGCCTTAGGGACCCAAGTAACTGCTATTGCGGGACGCTGCCCGCAGCAACTTCCCGGTTTGAATGGACCCTGGCACCTCGCGGGCAACGCAGCTATGCACATGCACTTTGCTGCACGAAGCCTTCAGAACCTGGGGCCTTTGACGACGGGACGCCGAGGCGCCGATGGGGGTCCTCCCAGGTCACGGGGCTGCGGGGGAAACCGAGGCCCGGAGAAAGGCAGGAGCCCGTCCAGTGTGACCTGGGGCCACCCCGGCACTCTCCGCACGTCTCAGGGGCCGCACGGCTGCGGGGCCGGCACGCGGCGG